TTGAGAATTCTCAATCCACTTAGGAATTCCAAACTGACTAATGCTTCTTTCTCTTCGAAGCTCAAGTTCCTTCTCCAGTTTTACCTTTTCAATTCTTAACTTGTCAAGATCATATTTTAATTTTTCAAAATCCTCATTAAATTTAGGCAAAGATTCAGAGGAGGAACTTGGAGACACTTCAGCATTAGCAAGTTTGTATTGAGTCAGTTCTTCATTAACCATGATATTCTCAAACTTGAGTTTCTCATTTATTTCTTTTAAGAGAAGATTTTTGTCAAAAAGTTCAAAAAATCTACTTTGAACATCAGTTTGTTGATTCTCAATCCACGTACTGTGTTCCTTGCAGACTTTGAGAGCTCTTTGACATTCACCTAGACGAATACTAGTGTGAGTCCAGTCATCTTCCAATTCAAACACCAAATCAATGAGAGCATCTTTAGTATAAGTTTTAAGCACATTAGGATCAAGGAATACCTCTTTAGCAAGCTCATCGTTGTAAGCCTTTTCATCACGTTTGGCCATCAGACAGAGATGAGCTGTTTCTTCTTCAGGTTGTTTCTCTTCATCCTCACTTTCAGAATCTCCCCAGGCAGCAATCATAGCCTTCCTAATGTCTGTTTTATTGAAAGGAGTTTTGTTGTAGTTGTTCTTAACTTGTTCCTTTGCCTTCCCTTTCCCTTTCTCTGTATCCCAAAGTGGACACTCACGAATAAAGTGTTCTAGAGATCCACATTTGTGACAACCAGAGTCAGCTTTTGAAGTAGAGGGTTTCTTGGTGAAGTTCCTTGACTTGTTGTTTCGGTTAAACATTCTTTTGAACCTTCTCACCAGCATAGCAGCCTCTTCTTCATCAACTTCGGAGTCTTCTTGATCTCCAGCTTTGAGAGCCAAGCCTTTTCCTCGGTTTCCTTCACTGTTGCTTGTTCCTAGGTGCAGCTCATGAGTTATGAGGGAACCAGCAAGTTGCTCAATATTGAACTTTGTGAAGTCCTTTGTTTCTTGTAAGGCTGTTACCTTGGCTCTCCATCTCTCATCTTGAGGGAGGCTTCTTAGAACTTTTCTGACCTGCTCATCAATAGGGATTTGCTTTCCAAGAGAAACAAGCTCATTAGTAAATCTAGTTAACATTTCCTGAATTGATTCTTTTGGTTGCATTTCAAACCGTTCATATTTTGACATAAGCAAGTCAATTTTAGAGTGTTTCACTTCGTTAGTTCCTTCATGAGTAACTTGAAGTAAATCCCAAATTTCTTTAGCATTTTTACAACCCATAACACGGTTGTGTTCATTGGGTCCAAGACCACAGTGAAGTAATTTAACAGCAAGTGCATTAATTTCCATTTTCTCAAAATCTTCCTTATCAAATTCAGACATGGGTTTAGGTACTACCTCATTTTCACCAGTAGTTTTGGTAATTTCGAAATCATCAACTTCGATCACTCTCCAAACCTGGTAGTTGTCGGCTTTGATAAAAATCTCCATCCTGTTCTTCCAATAGGTGTAGAATTTTTCGTTGAACATAGGAGGACGCTGCATAGAGTAACCTTCTTCCAGTTTCTCGTGATTGTTCATCTTGATTCCAGGAACTTAACTCGTCAGGGTTTCCTGATTTCTTCGAGGAACCAGCTCTGATACCAATTGTTGACTCGAATGAATAATACAAGAGGGGGGGTGAATTGTATTGTGGAGGAACTAGGGTAATTTTTGCGGAATTCTCAAAGAAACTTAAACAAAAACTTTAAAGTGCAAGAGAGATTTTACGTAGAAAACTTCTTGGCCCTAATCAAGAAGAAAAACCACGACCACAAGGGATTTTAAACTCAACTCTTAACAATAATAGGGCAAACAACCTATTACAAATTAAGACTCTAAACTCAAGTTCCTCAATGAACTTAAGTTCCCCCTCAACTGATCCCTCAATCAGTTAAGCTGTCGAATCTGTCTCTTTCTCCTTGCTTCACTCAAAGCAATTACACACTCTAGAGTTTACCCAAACTCTACCCCAATACAACTCAAGATAAAACTTCTAAGATGCTAAGTACAAAGACACTCAAGGACTTAAGTGGATTTTTGACTCTTTTAGAAAAGCTAAGAATTGTAATGTTCAAGTGTGCTTTTCAAAACAAAAAACTAATCCTATTTATACAGAAGGAAAACAGTTGAAACTTTTACGTTTGCCTTAACTCCCACTACACCACAACTTCCATTAATTTAGGAAGTGTAGTTCATGGATGCTTGGGCAGCAAGCTGAAGCATATACAAGGAAGTGGTTTACTGCTCCCTTAATTTTCTCAACCTCCTTGACCAAGTAAAAGATCCGTTTTTTTTAAAAGAGTTTTTACCAAGTCAGATTTTCCAAGATAATAGGATAAAATCAAAACAGAATATCCTTTGATAAATAAGATATTTTTGACTAAAAAAATAATTTTCCGAAATAGTATTAAAACCAGTTAAAGTATGGAAAATAAAATCTTTTATGAAATTAAACCACTTAAATCCTATCAATTAACAATGTACTTTAGCAAAAATACAAGAAGCCTAAAAGATATACAATAGACTCCTTGAAATACTGTGAAGCTTTGACTCTGGAGCTTTAGTTCCTCACTCAAGGAACTTGGCTTCTGATTGTCTTCTATACTTATCCACAGCTCTTCCTTAGACCTTGTTCCATGCTCCATTCTGACTCTAGAACCTCGTTGCATATAAGAACCTGTCAAGTACATCAAAGCTAATAGACAAAAATTAAAGCTCCCATGGGTTTGCTTAGGTTCCTTGAGTCATCATCAAAACTTAAGATCAACAAGATTTTTGTATGGTGTTCAGTGGTTTGTGGTTGGGGTTCAGAAGTTTTTGGTGGTTCAGAGGTTTTTGAAGAGTGTTCAGTGGTTTGTGATTGGGGTTCAGAAGTTTTTGTAGGGGGTTCAGAGGTTTTTGAAGGGTGTTCAATGTTTTATGGATCGAGTTCAAAAGTTTTTGTAGGGGGTTCAGAGGTTTTTGTAGGGTGTTCAGTGGTTTGTGGTTGTGGTTCAGAAGTTTTTGAGGGGGTTGAGAGGTTTTTGTAGGGTGTTCAGTAGTTTATGGTTTGGGCTCAAAGGTTTTTGTAGGGGTTTAGGAATTTTTGAAAGGTGTTCAGTGGTTTGTGGTTAGGGTTCAAAATTTTTTGTAGGGGTTCAGAGGCTTTGTAGGGTATTCAGTGGTTTGTAATTGGCGTTCATAAGTTTTTAACAATTGGTTTTTTCTTAGATACATCATCGAATTTTTTTTTTTTTTTGGTGTTCTGATGTTGAACATTTGACTAATTGTACAATTTAAAAACAAATTGCAAACTTAAACAATAAATTACTTACACATCTTTATCCTATTCGGTAGGAGCAGATAATTTTGATTTTCAACAAAAAAAAAATTTAAAAAGTCAAAAAGATAATTATATAGTAGAATATAGTTTCAATTTTACAATTTGTTGAATTATATTAGCAAATTTATTTAACATAAATATAGGAAAATCAAAAAAGTTAAGTATTGTTTATTTTTTTGAAGGTGTTTTCGTATGTTTTTTGTCTTTTGTCATGGTAGATTGCAATTTTTAGAGAAAGAAAAATGGTGAGAGGGGAGAGAAAATACAAAAGAATTCATTGAGGAAGGTTTTTAATTTATGAGAGGAGAGAATTTTTTTTTTTTTTTTTTTAAAGAAGGAGAGAGAAATTTTTTAAAATGAAATAAAAATAGATATGACATTTTTTTTTTTGAACTTAAATAGATTTGCCAGTTGGAGAGAGGAGGAACTATTATTAAAAAAAATAAAAATAAAAAAATAAAAAATACTTCGTGGGCTTCTTTTGTTTGGGCTTCTTGTGTCAGGTGTGAATTGGGCAAGGTGCACCTATTTCTAGGTACACCATGGTGCACATAATACTAATTAGTTGAGGAACTTTCACTTGGGCTAGGTGCAAAAGTTTCAATGATTTTAGTGGGCTTAAACTTGTTTACATAATAGCTGGGTGATGGCCCAGAATAGACAGCACAATAATATAATGCAAGAGTTAATGTCTATTAGTGCTACGGCCTTATGGGTGTGTTTGGTTTGATGTAAATATATTTATTATCAAAAAAGGGAAAGAAATATTGCATCTATTACTATTGCATCTATTATAAAATAGAGGTAGTGTACAAAAAATAGTCATACAGTCTATTATTAAGTTATACAATATTGTTTTTAGAACACTATGCGTAAGAAACCATGCAAATAGAAATAGAAATTTACGAGATAGAGAGAGTACAATGTTTAAGCACATGAATATAAATTGATTAATAGATAGACTCAAGGATTTACTACACTGGATAATTAATTTTCACTATATCCCTTTTGTTAGGTGTATGTTTCATACTTTGCTTCATGTGAGTACCAAACATAATCTCCTAGACACATTGATGTTTGAAACACCAATTAATTAAGTAATCATCAAGAGTACTAAACTCAAAGGAAACTAGACAAAAACATGAAAAATCATGCCCTTAAATTAGTTAATTACTTTTATTATACTTCACTCTTTTCCACACTTTTCAAAAGATGCAGCCCCTCAAAATTAATGTTTTCCTCAAGAAAACTATTTTATCTTATAAAACAAACAATTATTCTCCATCCATAACAAAGCCTTATCGAATTTATCACTAACACTTGATACCATGATATATTCTGAAAAAGGTTAGTTATGTATATTGACAAATTTTTTAACATAACGTTAAACTGCATAAGGTTCCGGAGCACTAAGGGCATATTCTGTTCAGCTTAATATCAGTTAAGTTTAATTCATTTTAGCTTCAATCAGTTCAGTTCCTAATTTCCTTCTCTCATAAACAATTCATGTAAGCTATATTCAGCTTAGTTACGCCCCAATTCAGTTTAATTTAGTTGCTTTCAATAAATCAGAACAGGCCCTAATTCTAAATTGATTATGACTAGATATTTCCATCGAAAAAATTAGTATAGGAGAAACAATAGAAAAGAGTTACCGAGTACAACAAATTAAATGTGATCCTTTAATATACAAGTATATTTTTTATTTAAACTCTTTCAAGAATTTGAATGATCTAATAAGTTAGTATCTAAAACAAACCCTTTCCACAAAAACCAATATCCATATTAATTTTCAGAAGAATGTAAAATGTTCATAATAGAGAGTGCAACAGCAGACAACTGAAAAATACGATTATTTTCTTGTGTCAAAGGAGACACACCAACTTCTTCAAACCCATCTTCACAAGTTGTTGAAGCTTCCATCACGGAGCTCACCTTCACGTTAGCATCCACAAATCGTTGTGCTCGAAAATCCGATACCACCTCACTTAACGTAGAGAGTGCATCCGAGTAAAGTTCCAAGCAATCCTTCAATACACCCTTGTATCTTTTACTAACCTTTTTGTCCTGCAATAGTTGCTTAATCGAACATCGAGTGTCCGTAACGTTGTGTTTGATCAATGTGATGGAGATTAGGCCTAGACGGGTCGTGTTAGCACAATGGCTAGCGGGGGCAGATTGGAGGGCGTATACACAAAATTTGTAGTTGATGTTTGGGTCGTTTTTCGACGAGTTTTTGCATGTTTGGTTGATTAGATTGCTCGCTTTGATAGCATTGAAGAAGAGGACAAGGGTGAAGAAGAGAATGTAGGGAGAATTCATGGTTTTCATTCAATTACAATGTGTTTTTTTTTTTGTTAGTTATATGATTATTATTATTATTGATTTTGTTACGTTTAAGTGTATTAGAAGGGTGTTATAAGAACAATTGGCCCTTTTTGGTTTGTTGCTTAATTGTTTTGGTGGCGTGATAAATGCGCCTCTATTGAAGTTAGGAAGCCCACATTATTGAATTGGTTGTACAAGTGTACGATTATTATGGGGCATGAGCATGATTACAAAATAAATTCATTAAGAGGAACGGTTTATGATTGAAACTGATAAGACTAATCTGTATTTGGTTATCGGAATTGAATCATACAATAAATATATGATAAGTATAGCTAGATTAGGTTGGTGTTTTTATGAATTTAAACTAATTAAATAAATAAAACTTCAGAGCCAAATCAGTAAAAATAACGGATTACACAGTATAACGGGGTTACTGGTTTTGTCAGGGTTACTTGTATTTTTTTTTCAAGAGTTACTTGTATTTTTTTTTTCAGGGGTTACTTGTATTTTTTGTTTCAGAGGTTACTTGTATGGATTATTTATTCAGGGGTTATTTGTATTTTTTTTTTTCGGGGTTACTTGTATGGATTACTTATTTAGGGGTTACTTGTATTTTTTTTTCAGGGGTTACTTGTATGAATTATTTATTCAGGGGTTACTTATATTTTTTTTTTCAGATGTTACTTGTATTTTTTTTTTTCAGAGGTTACTTGTATGGATTACTTATTCAGGGGTTACTTGTATTTTTTTTTTAGGGGTTACTTGTATTTTTTTTTTTCAGGGATTACTTGTATGGATTACTTATTCAGGGGTTACTTGTATTTTTTTTTCAAGAGTTACTTGTATTTTTTTTTTCAAGGGTTACTTGTATTTTTTTTTTTTCAAGATTTAGTTGTATTTTTTTCAGGAGTTACTTGTATGGGTTAATTCAAGGGTTACTTGTATGAGTTATTTATTCAAGGGTTTCTTGAATGAGTTAATTATTCAGGGGTTACTTATATGAGTTACTTCAAAGGTTACTTGTAAGAATTACTTATTCAACGGTTACTTGTAAGCCACATACCAAACCAGTAACACCCTACAAGTAACCCTTGAGCAAAACTAGTAACACTCCACAAGCAATCCCTAACCAAACCAGTAACACCCTACAAGTAACTTTTGAGCAAAACTAGTAACACCCTACAAGTAACCCCTAACCAAACTAGTAACACCCTACAAGTAACCCTTGACCAAAATCAGTAACACCCTACAAGTAACCTGACCAAACCAATAACACCCTCACCAAACCAGTAACACCCTACAAGTAACCCCTGACCAAACCAGTAACATCCTACATGTAACCCCTGACCAAACCATTAACACCATCACCAAACCAGTAACCCCTGACCAAACCAGTAACATCCTACATGTAACCCCTGACCAAACCAGTAACACCTACAAGTACCCATAACCAAACTAGTAACACCCTACAATTTTTGACGTAGAATGTTTGATCTAAGATTCCACGAAGAAAACGAGCTCACATTTCTTTGGTTCTCATCAATTTCATTACTTCAAATGTTGTTGATGATTTTAAGGATAATTAATCACAATTTTTCACAACAATTTAACACCCAATTTCTACAATTTCGGGCTTTAATTGCAGCAATTTGGCAAAGAGGAGAGAAAAAAATGGGTGGAGTAGATATATGGTTGTTGGTAATGTGTGGTTTGGCTTGAAAAAGAAGCTAAGAAAAGAGGAGAGAGAAAATGGGTATAGTAGAGATATGGTTGTTGGTAATGTGTGGTTTGGCTTGAAAAAGAAGCTAAGAAAAGAGGAGAGAGAAAATGGGTATAGTAGAGATATGGTTGTTGGTGATGTATGGTTTGGAGAAGAAGAGATAGAAGAGTTGTGGTATTTTTGTAAAAATAATAATAATTGTGGTTGGCCACACCGTGTGGCCAGCCACATACAAAAATTTGTGATAAAACTTACCCAATATTAATAAAATTTGATAAATTCATTCAAAATCAAGCATTAAGGGTTTGTTCTCATTGACTGAACTCAGCTGAATTGAACTGAGCTGAGCTGAACTGAACTGAACCGAACTAAACTGAACCGAACTGAAATGAATATTTTATAAGAGAAGGAAATTAGGAGCTGAAATGAATTGAATTTCAACGTATGAGAACAGACCCTAAGTTAACGAATGAGACTATTAGTCTATTAGGGGTCATTTGGTTGGGGTATTCATCAAAGGGAATGGGAATCAACTGCCCTGATTTCCTTTGTTGTTGTTTGTTAGACACTTTTTTTTCATTCCCTTTACCCTCTCCATTACCCCAAATCCTTCTAACATGATTCCCCACCCCACCAGGCTTTTCCATTCCCTTTCCTTAGCCACACCTCCACCACCACACCCACACTAGCCACCACCCTTTTACCATACCCCCACCACCCAACTACCACCCAGTCGCACCCTCCACCTCCACCGCCATTGCCACCCCTTCCCCGACCATCGCCACCCACCGATAAACCCTCCCCTCCCCTAAAAACCTCCCCCCACCGCATAAATAACCCATTTATTTAACTTTCTAGCCACCACCCGACCATCCCACCGCCTAGCCACCACCCAGCTACCCTCGCCGCAACTCATCTTCCTCTCGTCACCTTTCTTCGCCGCCCAAAATCCCTCCCCTCCCATCCCCTCCCCCCGAAAACTTCCCCTACCTCGAAAAACCCTAGAAATCTCGATCTCCTCCCTGTAAAAAACCGTCGGCCACCCTCGAAACCCTAGCCGGCGGTTTGTATAGGGAGAAGGAGGGCGGTTTTTACAGGGAGGATGAGGGAATTTTTAGGGTTTTTTTTCGAGGGCAGGGGAGGGTGGGGCTTTTGGCGGCGATGGGTGGGGAGGGGCGGCGAGTGTGACTAGGTGGTGGCTGGAAATAACAAGAAATGAGTTGTTTATGTGGTGGTGGTCTGGTGGCTCCATTCCTTTTATTTTGTTGTAAAACAAACAATATACTATATGGAATGGTTTTTATTCCATTCTCTTTGAATCTTTGTTCATTCAATTCCATTTATCCCGTACAAACCAAACGGCCCCTTAGAGTATAAGTTCAAGCAATTAGCTAACTCGGCTTTAGTGCTCAAACTCACCATAAGGCCGTATTTCTATATTTCATTCCACTCTTCTATTTTGTTGTAGCCTTGTTGCAATCCCATAGGGCCGTATTCTCTTTCACGGCCCAGATTAAAAGCCCAATTACAATACTACTGCTACACTTTTTTTTTGTTGACGTGGTATCCAATAATTCGAGAGTTGAACAATTCAAATCAAATTTCACGCCTAAAAATCAAAAACAAAGTCCTACAAAAAAAGAAAGTCATCATCATACTCATCAATTATCATCATCCTTTGGATTACTTTACAATTATGGTTTCCCTTCTACCTCCTCCTAACCTTACTGTCTTTCGAGTCGAGTCCTAAGAAATATATCGATATTATGTAGGTCAATTTTGATACAATTTTTTTATAAGATCTGTTTTTCCAAGTGTAACAAATTACGTACAACATAACAAGGAAAAAATTGTACTTGGAGTATCAAAGATAAGATTATAATGTAAATCACTTTCAATTAGCAAGCCAATTGATTGAATTACAGTAAAATTATATATAGGTTGCATGAATAATATACCATAGTAATTTACTAATTCTACAATACAAGATCATTTATAACCCAAACAATACATATTTGGTTAAATATATATTGTTAAATTAAAATAAAAAATAAAAAAATTATACATGTAAAAATAAAAAATTAAAGCATACTCATAATACTAAGAGCTATAGCAGACAATTGAAAGGTATCATTGTTTTGCTTAGTCAAAGGAGAAATAACACCAACATTTCCAAAACCATCTTCACAAGTTGTAGAAGCATCCATAACCGAGCTTATTTTCACATTAGCACCATTAAATCTTCTTGCTCTATAATCCCTAGCCGATTCCCTTAACGTTGGGACCGAATTCGAGTAAACTTCCAAGCAATCTTTCAACCCTAATTTCGTAGAATTATCCACCTTGTTGCTCTCTAGTAACGTTTGTATCGAAAAAGTTGTACGTGTAACGTTATGTCTAACAAGATTGATGGATATTAGCCCTAGACGGGTTAGGTTAGCGTAGAGACTCGAGGGGGCGGTCCTAAAGGCTTTGGTGCAAAAGGTGTAGTTTATGTTAGGGTCATTGGTTGATGAATTCATGCATGTTTGGTTGATTAGGTACGTGGACTCGGCCGTGGTGGTGGTGGTGGTGAGGAGGAGGAGGAAAAGAGGGAGAAGAGTTGAAGAAATGGAGGAAGGAATAAAAATCATGGTTGTTGTTTTGAGGTAGGGACTTTTGTGTGTGTTAGAGATAGTGTGGTATAGATGATTTTGTTAGTAGTGGAAGAAAAAAGGGTGAAACTAACTTTTTGTACGTTGGAAATAAAGAGTGTTAGAGTCGTTGAGAAAACAGAAAAAGGAATATCACAGTCTATATATTATACTATTGTTGCAATTAATTCATCTTGCTTTATTTTAAGCAAAAACATGAAGTTTAGTCTAACGACACTAACGTACACTTAGATTATTAATTATGTTTGGGTTGATTGTTTATGGAATTTTAAAGAATTGATCCTTCTGTTCTTATAATTATTTTTTTATTACGGAATTCCCTTGTGACATTTTTAATAAGGATAACAAAATGAGTCCGAAAATTAAATTGATTTAGACATGCTTATTGTGATTGCATAGTGTTCAATGGTTTTTTTTATTATTCATCATTACTCGTTATCATTATCACTTAATAACTTCACTCAATAACTTAATGGTGTAACTGACTACGTATAAGAATTTATAAAAGTCAAAAGATAAAGAAATTTAAACAAAAATTATTGTGTGGCGACATTGATTTATAAGAGTAATCTTCATTTATATGTAAAGTAATCTCATTTTTTTTCAGAGTAACCCACATAAGTGACTCAAATGCATTATACGAGTGAAATCAAGTAATTTAGAAATAAGTAACCCCATTTGTTCATTCGAGTAACTCTTAATATTTTGTTTTGAAAATGAAAGAATAATTACACTTAATTAAGAAAATAACCCTTTTTTCTCATCTAAGTAACCTACATATGTCAAAGTAACCACATTTGCTCATCACCGTAACCATCGTATTACGGAGTACTTAATTAATTGTCTTATGCGTAATTATGTGAAATGGCCACACCATAAGCCACATATAAGACTTTGTGTACTCGGTATTATTTAATAATATCCAAAAACCTTTGATAAAATGTCGTTTGCATCCCTATCCTGAAAACACAAAAGGATCAACACAATCATATTTTTCTCAAATCTTTTTGTTTTGGTAGCTTTACTAGCTGGATGACTCTTTTTCCTTGTGGTATTTGGCAGAAGATGCACCCTTTAGAAAATGGTGAGCTCTTATGGCTTTTGTAAATTTCAATATTCATCCTAACTTATAAAGAAACATTGGAGGACCCTACCTCATATTGGTAGGTAGTCCATTAATACCAAAGCCCATATAAGTACATATAAATGACATAATCCAATGACGAAATAAGGTTGGTCCATGTAATGAGAACTATTATAAGATTATTGCATATGTAACCCACAATTTTTGGGGGGTTTTCTAGTCAATTAGAATTCATGCTTGAATGATGAGGCCACCATTTTCCAAACCATTGTTTGGTTTACATGAGAACATCTCATGTTTGGTTGATAGTCAAGAACTTGTAAAATTTCAAAATTAGGATGTATCCATGTTGATGTTATTGCATGATATATATTTTTGCCAAAAAAGTTGAGATATTAGTTGTTGGAGAATAGCGAAGTTAGATTGTTAATGGAGTGGCTCCATTATTTTTTAAAAGTGGATAGATTTAAGGGTTTGAGTTTTGGTACAATTAGGTTAATATTAACTAACTTTTATATAGATGTTGGGAGGTAGGAGGGAAACATAAATTCTCGTGTTTTTGGAAGATTATTTGGCCTATAATTTTAAGTCCCCCTAGTTTTTTTTCTTTCTTGTGTACATGAAACATATATTCAAATTAGCATCTCTCATGAGCAAAATTCCGACCAATTATTTGATGATGTATAGTATCAATTAACAAAACTAAAACCACTTACATAATTGTAATATATCATTACTCAATATGTCACTAGACGAAGGTAAACTTAGATTAGTTTAATAAGTGATAGCAGATACATTTTGACATAAAGACATTACCAATAAAATTGATATAAAAAATTAAAATGTTGGTTGATTAGTTGATCTATCTCACAAAAAGAAATTTAATTGATTTAACACGCGACAACGGATTAATTTATTTAACACGCGACAACAGATTAATCGTGACATAAAACGTTACGAAAAAAGGCGGTGGAGTAATAATTGGATTGATTCATTGATCCTATCTCTAGAAAAATATAAAGTTTAATTGATTTAGCGCATGATAGCAGATAAATCGTGACATTAAACGTCACAAAAAAAAAAAGTTGGTAATAATTGGATTTATTCCTTAATCTATCTGCTAAATAGTAAGTTTAATTAATTTAACACGCGATAGCAAATAATTCATGTCATAAAACGTTACGAAAAAGGTGGTAGAGAAATAATTGGATTGAGGGCCTGTTCACATTTACTGAAATGAGCTGAACTGAATTGAACTGATTGGAGCTGAACTGAACTGAACTGAACTGATTAGAGCTGAACTGAACTGAACTGAAATTAAGTAAATATGAACAGATTCATTGATCTATCTCTACAAAATACTTTGTAGTAGTGTTTAATTAATTTAACACACAACAACAGATAAATCGTGACATAAAACGTAACGAAAAAAAAGTGGTAGAGAAATAATTGTCTATCTCTAGAAAAAAAGTAAAGTTTACTTGATTTAACATGCGACAACGTCATATTTTTCTTGACATAAAATGTTGCGAAATGGATTGATTTGTTGATCTATGTATCACTAGAAAAAAGTAAGGTTTAATTTATTTAACACGCGAAAGCAGATAAATCGTGACATAAAGTGATAAAACATTACAAAAAAAGGTGGTAGAGAGAAAATTTGATTGATTCGTTAGTCTCTATGTAGAAAAAAGTAAAGTTTAATTGAGTTAGAACACAACAACAGATAAATCGTGACATAAAGTGATTAAACGTTACGAAAAAATGGTAAATAAATAATTAGATTGATTCGTTGATCTGTAGCTTAAAAAAACAAAGGCTAAAGTTTAATTGATTAACACGTGATAGCAGATAAATCGTTACCAAAAAGGGTGGCAGAGAAAAGATTGAATTGATTTGTTCATTTATCTTTAGAAAAAAGTAAAGATTAATTGATTTATTACGCAAGAGCAGATAAATTGCGACATAAAACTTTACAAAAAATAGCTATTAGCTAGAGAAATAATTTGATTGATTCATTCGTTTATCTATCTCTAGAAAAAAAATATAAGTTTAATTGATTTAACACTCCGCAACTGTTGCACCCAAAAATCAGAATTTTGACTTTTGTATGACCTTCTTGACTTTGACTGAATATAAAAGGTTTTAGAGTCAATAAAAGGTCTTTAGGCTAGCTAGACTAATACAAACATAAAAGGAAATGGGCCGATATCACATAAAGGTCTAATACATTGAGGTCGGGTTAGGGGGCTAATGGATATAATTTTAATTTTTGAAGAAATGTTGGCGCCAAGAAGCATAACCGTACAACGGTTATGGGAATCATCCATAACCACTTCATTTCGTCTATAAATAGAAGTGCAAGTATCAAAGCTAAGAAAGATATCAACAAATCAATCAACAACAAGCATTTAATTTCTTTTAAGCTTTCTTCTTAGCTTTCGTAGTTCCCCTTGCCTTAGTAGCTAAGTTTATCACGTAGCATGTTTTGAAGATCGTTTGTCTTTTCCCAACTGTATGATCATTGGGATAATCTCTCCTTCAACTTGTACAATTGTAGACCTAACTCTATCCTTTAATTAATGGAGTGCATTTGTATCTTTCGTTATGTGTAAATTAATCGTTTCTTTGAGCAATCTAATTTGTATGTTTCAATTCTTTTGGGAAAGCTTCCTTATTATTTTGTTCTTACATTAGTAAGTCTTTGAAACCGATAACTCGAGGGGCAACCCCTTAATACTCTAGAATAAAATATACTATCTAACTTGTTGGTAAAGAGCAATATTTACCTCAATAGCAGCAAATAAGTTGTGATATAAAACGTTACAAAAAAGGTGGTGGCGAAATAATTGGATTTATTCGTTGATCTATCTCTAGAAAAAAGTAAAGTTGAATTTATGTAATACGCAAAAGCAGGTAAATCGTGACATAGAACTTTATGAAAAAGTGGTAGAGAAATGAATCAAATAATTGGATTGATTAGTTGATTTATTCCTAAAAAAAGAGTAAAGTTTATTTGATTTAACATGCGATTGCAGATAAATTATGACATAAAACGTTACAAAAAAAAAGTAGCAGAGAAATGATCGAATTGGTTAGTTCATGTATCTCTAGAAAAAAAGTAAATTTTAATTGATTTAACACGCAATAGCAGATAAATTGTGACATAAAACGTCACGTAAAAAAAGGTTATAGCTAGAGAAATTATTGGACTGATTTGTAGATCTATCTCTAATCTTAAAAAAAAAAAGTTTAATTGATTTAACACGCGATAGCAGATAAATTGTGACATAAAACGTCACTAAAAAAAGGTGGTAGAGAAATAATTATTCCTTCCAATTGCAAGTTTTGTTCAAAGGTTAATAATTCTTTTATTTAATTAGAAACTTATTGGAGAGTGAAACCTATTCTATCTCTTGTCCAGTTTGAGTTGTTTATCCCAATTGTACTACATCTCTATGAAACATTTAATATTTTGCCTAAAACATTATCTTATCCTCATATGTGTGCGGGGTGAAACTCTTGCCCCCAACAATGGGATTTCTTATGAAACGACACATTTTTACTACTTCAAAACTCTTATGTATTGTGTTTTACGTATTAATGACAATGTGTTAGATTCCAAGCCTCTTCCATGTATGAGATACCCTTTTAATGCTTTCCTAGAGTTAACTTTATAATTTCTAGGCCTTAGATCCCGTTATTGTGTTATTGTCATCTCAGTGCTCACTAGAGATTCCATGCATGAACAGATGAACTATTTAAAGCTCTTTAAAGGGTGAATGATTCAATGAAATCTTAAGCCTTCTACTGAGTGTTGCTTTGCTATTATACTTGTTTGTTGTTATACCTTTATACTTTTTTAGATATTGTGCTTTACTTGCATAATAGCTCTTCTCCCTACTAACTTGATGCACTAAGAATTCGTGGTTCGGATTCGCTTGTGTTTGCTTTGAAGTATTGGCCCCCAAGCCCCCAACCGCTCGCACTTCGTCGCCTAATCGATGTGAGTGCTTTTGAGATTTTAATTGCTCACTACATCGCTTGTGTTGCTTCGTGATCACAAACCTCATTTTCGCATTAAGGCTTGCACTATTGCCATCAAAAGACTAGAGCGCGCCGCACATTCTGGTGCTCAAAATCCCGAACTATGACACAATATCTTTTGCAATAGTCCATAACTTTTTTTTCTTTTGTATAGCATTATTAGTTTTATACACTTGGGGGTAATATATTAAGGGGGGTAATAAAAGTCAAACTTGAAAAACATAAGTAATTAGATCGAGTGTTGTAGCCTTGTAGGAGATAAGGTGATTATAAATGAAAAAAAGTAGTTATGTCATGAGGAAAAGAGAGACATGGAACCCTTGATCATTATTAGAGTTGGTTTGGTTTATATATGTTAATGTTGTATATTTGTCGAGTTTATCTTTTTAGTAGTTTGGGCTAGTTAGGTCTTGATTTGTATTGCATATGTATATGTGGTTCTTACTAATACAAAGATTAAGCCGTTTTCTCCAATATTTTTTGACTTTAACATGGTATCACAACCTCTCTAATTTCTAGAGAATTTTTTCTTCGAACTTGGTTAGTTCTTCGATTGATATACTAAAAGGGTAATAGTTACCCACCTTCCCCTAGTGTAACTATTACCATTAAAATGAGGGTAATAGTTCCTCTTTCTTCACTTCATAACACACTATTATTACATAATTTTCCTTACAATCACATAATCATTATTTTTTTTTCTAACAACACAATCATTATTTCTTTCTTCCCTATCCCTATGTTCACTTTCATTTTGCCCAGTTTGACTTTACTACCCTAATACTCTGTAGTATACTTATTATATCCCTTAATCCAAACATACCATTAAACGAGATTGTATAATTCTTATTGCCATTTTATAGAGTACTTATCTACCCATCAAGAGTTTCAAGAACCAAATAAAAGTGGTCAATTGTCTCATTTTAATTCCCCTCATTAATTGGTTATACTAGTACTAGTATTATCACTTATTGATGAGTTAGGGATACCTTTTGATAAAATAGATTTAGTTTATGTTACTAAGATTCCCCACATGAATCTTTAAGAATCTTGGTTGTATAATTTATATCCTTAATAAACCTTTTTTTTTTTTTTTTGACCTCGTACCTCACTTGTTAAATTAACCAAACACAATCCAACGATCACAAAAATAAAAATACCCCAAATCAACGGTCGAAAAACCAATCTCACAACTCCCAAAAATACAACCAACACACACACAATAAAACCAACCTTTTACAATCATCTTCTTCATCAACATCACTTTCTCTCTCCTCATCTTCCTATCATTTTCTCTCTCCTACTCTTCCTTTTTTTCTCCTCTATCCCTCGCTTTCGAGGGCCCTTTTTTTTTGCCATTTTTTTTCATTTTTATTTTTCTAAATCTTCCAATTAATTTTTCAATTTCTTCTTCGATTTTGATTTTTGCTCATCTATCTAATTTTGGGAAAATTTCCCCCAATTTCGACGTTTTTTAGAAACCCTAAAATTCTGATTTTCGTCGGGAAAAAAATATTATGCATCAACAAAGATTGAAGCAACAACAACAACAACAAGCGATGATGCAACAATCGATCCTTCAGCAGCAAGCTTCTCTTTATCATCCCGGTGTTCTCGCTGCTCCTCCCCAGGTTATTTGATTTCATCGATTTTTTTATATATTTGCGAATTTACCTGAATTTTTATTTTGATTAATTATTGAATTTTGTTATGTTCGAGTGTCCAGATTTGATTTTTATTGTTAAAGTTGCGATTAATATGATCCTTGGTTTTTATTGTGTATTTTGGGTTTGATTGAATGCGTATTTGGTGATCAATTTTATTTCTGGAGATATAATTTTTCTGCATTGGTTTAAAATGGTTCGAAAGTTGATGATTTTAGGGGAATTTGAATGATGGGGTGATTGGTTTTGGATTATTATTGATTGAATTATGTTTATTATTGTGGATACACTAGATAATGGATTAAGAAACTAAATATTGATGATGTTAATTGATTATAATGTTTCGATAATTCCTTCAATATGATTTGATGTGATTATTAGTGTGTTGTAGGAGGGTTAAATTTATGTGAAAATCACCTTCAATCCAAAAGGACAGATTATGTGCTTTTCTTTGAATTTTCAGTGTTTGCAGCTAAGTAATTTGGGTGTTGTTGTATTATGAGGTAAATGAGGATTCTGGAGCACTTTGTTTAGATGTCTTGGGTAGTTGGGTATGTGGGCTGATTTACCGGAATGGGATTGTCGTCTTTTCCTACGAGGCTAAGGAAGGGAGCTCGTTTCTCTAATTGACTGTCGGATGGGAATTTTTTGGAGCTTAGGTGTTCTCTTTTGAGGATAATGGCTGGAAGAAGGGAAGTTCAGAGGATCCTATTTCTAAATGCATGTCTCGGCTTTCTGAATGCTCACTATGGTTGGCGTGCTAGTAGAATTAGATGTTTTCCTAGATGGCATAATTTGTGCCTTGGTATCTTCATAGTTCATATGAGGATTGTACAGTTGAAATTATATTGAATTAGGATTTTTTTATTTTTATTTTTTTTAATTTGTAGGTTTTTTTTTTTCTATTGTTTTTACATTTTTATTTTGCAGATAGAGCCTATCTTGAGTGGAAATCTGCCACCAGGCTTTGATTCAAGTGCTTGCCGCAGTGTGTGAGTGCCTATTAGATTTTTTTTTCTTTTTTTTTTTTTTTCTTTTTTTTTTCTTTTGAACTTTATTCCTATGATTTTTAGAGATTTTCTTTTGCTTCCTATAATCCTATGTTGTTGACCTTGGGGCTGGAGGGGACTCTTTTATCGAGAGTATTAGATGTCTACCCTTTTTAGCTTCCTTGTAAGAGGTGCCTTCTTTTTAGAGTATTATTAGAGGTTTAAGTTCCTTTTAAGATGTCAGTTTGATGCTTAATATAAACCTGTAACTTTGAGTCTGTGCTAAGTATGTGTGCTGCAAAGGACTTTGGGGTATTTCTACTTGCGCTGCTATTGTCATTCTTCAGTAGTCTTATGAGGGAGGCATAATTGTAGGTACGTTGGGAACATTCACCCCCAAGTCACTGATCCACTTCTTCAAGAAGTTTTCTCTAGCACCGGTCTTATTGAAGGATGCAAGCTGATTAGGAAGGAGAAGGTTGGTTACTTTGTGTTTATCAGTTATTATTTACATCTGTTTGACTACCCTGAAGAGCCCTCCTTTTTTTTTAAAAAAGAAAATAATAATATGTCTCTCATCACTTGTGCTGTCAGTCCTCATATGGCTTTGTGGATTACTATGACCGCAGATCAGCTTCTCTCGCTATTGTTTCCCTTAATGGGCGTCATCTGTAAGTATGAAGTGCATTGTATCATTAAATTGTTCTGATTGTCTAGCTTTTAGTTGATTTGACCATCTGTTATGCATTAAAATTTCAGATTTGGGCAACCTATTAAAGTTAATTGGGCATATGCGAGCAGTCAAAGAGAGGACACTACAAGTACGTATACTCTTGTGCTGTTGATTTACTTAGTCTGGCCTTTTCATTTATACTATCTGGATGTCTAATGGGTCATGTTCCTGCTCGATTTCAGATCATCACAACATATTTGTTGGAGATTTGAGCCCTGAGGTTACTGATGCTACATTGTTCGCTTGCTTCTCTGCTTACCAAAGCTGCTCGTAAGCCGCTTTCGTCCCTTGATCTTACCATATAACCAGCTTTGTTCATATCCCTCCTGGTGGTGGTCACTGTAAAGTTGACTTCTCTTGTTCATTGCAGAGATGCTCGAGTAATGTGGGATCAGAAGACTGGACGTTCTAGGGGTTTTGGTTTTGTTTCTTTTAGGAGCCAGCAGGTATATTGCTGTTTCTTATTTATTATTTTTTTTTAATGCTATGAATGATAATAAAGTGTAATTTCATAGTTTATGCATTATTTAACTGTGTTATAACTTTACAGGATGCCCAGAGTGCAATCAATGACCAAAATGGTATGCCCTGTTTATTGATGGTCATCGGCAAGATCCTTGAATTTTTTTTTTTTTTTTTTTTTGAAGTCTTTTAAAATTTATTGTTGTATTTGTATATTTTGTGATTTTCTGTTTCTTTATTCTTTCAATTGTTTACAGGAAAGTGGCTTGGAAGTAGACAAATTCGTTGTAATTGGGCTTCTAAGGGTGCTGTAGGCGGTGATGACAAGCCAATCTCAGATACTAATAGTGCTGTGGAACTCCCAAATGGATCATCTGGTTAGTGTTACTGTCAGACTTACTTTTTCTGCAAATTTTATGTTTGTGTAGGGAACTAGAATAATGTGATGAATAGTAAAGCTGGTGAGAATACCACCCCCCCTCCCCCTCTTCTTTTCCCCCCAAACCATGTCCTGTTTTGAATTGTTTGTTTGGTTCACTCCTTTTCAAATACGATTTCTTTTATTGTATCTATGGATCTTTTTTTATTTTAAAATTATGTTACTGATCAGAAAAAGGGGAAGTATCATAATTCTCTCTTTTTTTTTTCCTTATTCCCAACTCCTATCAGAAATGGGGTATTTGTTCATTAATTCGAAGCAAGAGCTGAGGCAATTTTTACTTAGTAAACGACATTTCTGCCTTTTTCCAGCATCAATGTTCTTTTTGCTTTTCTATTACACCTCAATGGAATGAGTTGCCTAGTTGTTGGAAATGGCCAATAAACTACATCTATGCTATGAGTAATATTTTAAGTATGAAGCTTTGCTACCATAATGTAGTAACTAACATGTCCCTCTTTCACTCATTGTATTTCTATTTTGTTTAATAATCATTTTCACTCCCTTGTTTTTTCAATTTTTTTTTTCTAAACCATCACCTATCTTTGTTTTTATTGGTTTTAAATCCTAATTTCATGAATCTCAAATTCACCCTCTTTCATTGTTTAAACATTTCATTTTTCATTACCGTGATCAATCAATTGCAATTTCACAGGTCATATTATAATTTTTCTGTGTATTTAATATATGTGTTTACATTGATTATTTATTTTTTTGGAAGGTTGCATTGCCTGTTTTTATTTTTAACTTTTATTACGGAGTATTACTTTATATACAATTTTCTATCTTCCTTACCTTCTAAATTATTAATATTTTCATTTTTTTTTTAAATGAAAATGATATATGCAGTAGTTTCTTAGTTTAATTTATTTTCAATTTAAATAGCGTCCTATATTTTAATGAGCATATTAGCAAAAAAATTTTAAAAATATATGTATACTAATAATAAATTCAAATTAATAACTTGTACATCCCTTTTTTGCCACTTCGGTGTAAACTGTAAAGGCTCAAGGTGAAACATGGATATGAAGGATTTTAAGTACGCTGTGGTTGCTGTTCACTTCCCTTTAATCTTTACTAGTCCTATGTGCATGCGATATGCTACGTGCGTAATACCTTATTCTATTCACCTTATACTTGTTGAACTTAAATTTGCTTTACTGAATTTGAATTTTTTACTCACTAAAATCTGTTATTGGTTATAACTGAAGTTAACCAATCAAAAATATTTTTAGTGATTTCATTTGTTATTTGTTCTTTGAAGTTACTGGTTTTCCTTTAGAAATTAAGATATGGAGTAGATTCTTACCAAACATTATATATTTGTAACTATAATAGTTTTACTGATTAACTTTTTATTTTTGTTTTTTTTTTATGATGAAAATTTTAGGGCGTACATGTACTTAATATTGTTTGGAAACATTATAACTATTAATGATCTGTCATAATATGCAATATGTAACATTATTCTAGTTTGCCTATCCTTCTAATACATATATTAATCTTTTATATGAGTACAAATTGATTTTAAATATATTAGGGCTGTTAATTATTGGGTACCACACTACCACTTTGTCGATTAATGGAATAGATGGCCCATGACCTGACCTGAGAACATTTGGTTCTTTCAATTTCTGGGTCTTGCTTTGGATCATTGGGGCATGGAATAATCCAAGGATTTAAATTGTTAATTTGTTGCTGATTTGATGGCTCATTGTTAATTTTAGTTGTCAATATAGATGGGTAAGGATGTGAGATTTTAGTGATTAGGTTATGAGGTGCTTAGGTGCTGCTAGATCTGGTGATGGTTGCTGTAGAGTACAATTTTTCAAGAAATGCAATTATCAAGCTTTAATTTGTTTACTAGAGTTGGATGTGAATAAAATTATACTCTAGTTTATCTTACTTGACAAAAAAAAAAAAAAAAAAAAAAAAAAGGGAAGTGAACAGCATACATAGTCAATAGTCCATCGAAATATTTGGTTAAAATCTTGTTTTTATTATACTTCCTCTTTTTTTTTTTTTTAATCGTAACACTTCTCTTTTCACGCTTGCTGATGCATGTTTTCAATCGTTAATATCTTTAATTAACAATATGTAAAAATTATATACTTTTGATATTGAAATTGTATTAATTGAGACGAATCTAACAATATCCCACATTATTATATTTTTACTCAAGTTAAAATCGTCAAAGCTAGTCAAAGTGAAAAAGATTAAAAATGTAAAAGTCAAACTATTGCAATTGTTAAAAAACGGAGGAAGTATGTTTCCATGGACTTTATACTAATGTGGCAAAGGCATGCTAACTTTTCTCATGTGGTTAATAATAGCCCCGATGGAATAAGTAATTTTACTTTCCTAGTTTTCCATTTAATTGTAAAGGTTACCTGCAAGTTAACTTTTGTGGTGTTTTTTTTTTCACAGTATGTACTTGATTTGTAAAGTCTCTTTTAACAATTAACATTATTATGCAAACTCTGACATAATTAAACTTGAATCTGCGCACTACATAAGAGATAATTTTGTGAAGCAAGGGAAAGGTTTTGACTTCAATATTGAGTTGATGACCTTTCTAGCAAATATACTGAGACTGTGAAGGATACTTTATACAATAACATGGTTACATGGGTATATAGCTATAAACTATTGAAACTTTGTTTTGGACCGAAAAGCATGCAGATTTTTCGTAGAATGGCCTAGTATGACACTTGGACGTGTAGTCATGTTTCACACTGAGCTAAGTCTGAGTGCTTTTATCTGCAGTTCGTGATGGACTTATATTATTTTGACTGTGATGTGCAGAAGAAGGTCAAGAGAAGACAAATGATGATGCTCCAGTTAACAACCCTCAGTATACTACTGTTTATGTCGGCAACCTTGCTTCTGAGGCAAGTTATCTTTGAGTTGATTGAAAAGATGCTATTATATGTATTGATGCCATAGAGATGCTAACCCTCTAGGTTGTGATCACACATTCGCACTCAAGTTATGTATGCGACCATCTATTGTTGCAGCATTTAATATAGTAGTCGCTCTCTAACCAAAAATTGCCTGAGTTGACCAAGCTATATTAATTTTTTGTCAATTGTCTGCAGTGTGTGTGTGTGTGTGTGTGTGTGTGTGTGTGTGTGTTTTCACATACAAATACATCTTTCTGTTCAAAAATTGCACCCCACTCCCCACTGGAATGATGCACGTGCCTCATCCCGTGCTTTAAGATTTCCAAACACAACCTTTATTTATTTGCGGTTGTGTTTGTTGGGGTGGGGGGAAGAAGGATACATTGGAGTTTGAGGGGCTTAGGGTTTGTGATTTACTTGGATTATGAGTGTACATTCATTCAGACAACACCCCTTCTGCCCTTCTGGCTATCTTTGTTAAATAAGCATTTAGTTGAAAGAATATTTACCCCTAGAAATTATTTCTGCTTGACATGTTATGGAGTGTCTAAGAAGTTAAGAGCAAGTACAGTTTAATAATGTTTATATACCTGGACACACATGATTGATTGTTTTAGTAAAGATAAGATGATTGAAGATCTATGAAAATGTGTCGCGGAAGATTTTTCTCTGTTTCTGTAAATTAATGTTTGCCAATTTGCAGGTTACATCAGCTGACCTTCATCGTCAGTTTCACGTTTTAGGTGCTGGTGTTATCGAAGATGTCCGGATACAACGAGACAAAGGTTTTGGTTTTGTGAGATACAGCACTCATGCAGAAGCTGCCCGAGCTATCCATCTTGGGAATGCACGGGTCCTCTGTGGAAAACCTTTAAAGGTAACTATCTAGGTGTATATGATATGTCTTTTCAGGGTAGTGTGGGTAGTTGTTTAATCTACATTGCTTATCTTGGCTTAATGTGGTAGGTGGGTTGTAAAATTTGATGACATTGCTTTGTGACTGCAAGTATGTTAAATTGCCTTTTTTTTGCTTAATTTTCTGGGCTGGAGGGTGTTATCTGGCATTTGTCTATCCAAAGAGATGGCTTTATCCAGCTCCGATGATTTTTTGATTACTTGTTCAAATATTCTGCTCTTATGCTTTCCTTCTGCAGTGCTAATAAATTACCCCGGCTCTCTTTCTTTTTTTTTTTTTGAAAATTAAATGGAATTGGAGTGATGATGGTAAGTTGTTTGCCTTGTTTGTTTGTTAGCCTAGTAAAGCCCCTTTGCCACTAAACGTCTTAAGTATCACTTTATGTTTTCTTTTTGAGACGTCTACCAAAAAAGCTTCTTGTTATTTTAAATCGGAACTTAACCCTACTCAACACTTGTGACGTGGACCCCCTCCTCCCAATCTCTATCTTTCTCTTTCCATATTCCTTGTGATGTGGGCCATCCAACTCACCAACTCTATTTCGATCAATTTTTTATTTATAATTTTCCCGTAGGCCCTTATATACAAAGAAGTCTATACATCTTAATGCTAACTAGAAAATAGAAACCTTAAATTATGTGCCTAAACCTATGAGGAAGGTTTAGACTGAAGGATCCAAGTAGAGAAAATACAAATTTATCATCATGGTAAACAAAAAGGCATGTGTGGGTGAGGAGGTTTTTTGGGTGGGGTGGCATGGCAAGACCAATGCAAAAGAAGACAGAATGTGCATTGAAGGAATTGGAACAATAGATGGTGACATAAATGATAAGTCATAAAACTGATGACTTTTTAAATAAATATACAGAATAAAGAAATTAGTTGGCTCCTTGTTTTCTGGAGTGTTATTTTTTCAATTATGTTTCTCAAGGATTCAGAGTATCATCCTAGGTGAATATTTTGATTATTTGTAATTGCCTGGCTACTTGTATAACCTTTCCGTTATTATATGTTTCAAATTGGTTTTGTCCTATTTTAATCTTTGGATCTAATCTTAGTCATGTATCAATAGTCCAATTATTGTTATGAGTGTGACATATACAGAGAGATGCACATGCTTTATAACTTATTCTAGGAGATTGGTATGTATAATTATATTCATATCTTGTTTTGCAGTGCTCTTGGGGCAGCAAGCCTACTCCACCTGGAGCAAGCTCTACACCACTTCCTCCTCCACCTGTTCAGGCATCAGGTTACACTGCCGCTGATCTGGCTGCCTATGAGCGGCAGCTTGCTCTAGCCAAAATGGGCGGTGTTCAGGCTCTCATGGGTCAGCATCCGCTTAAAGCTGCTGCTATGGGAATGGGTGCTCCTGGTGCCAGCCAGCCAATCTACGACCCTGCATATCAGAATCTTGCTACATCACAACAGCTAATGTATTATCATTAAAGTGTTCCTATCTGATAACCTTTTCTTCTTCTTATTCCTGATGGATGTAATGGTATATTAGCCTTTTACCCTCTCTATTTTCCTTTTCTTTTGTTTTTCAAGTCATAGTATTATGATTTCCTTCTTTATATACTTACAGTATGGAAACGGTAGAAAGATGTATTGATATCACAAAATATGTGCACTTGCCTGCATATATTTCAGAGCTTGTATTATCGGTTTTACAACCTCCTATTACAGATGTAATTTATTGAGATCTTTGCGACAGATTTTCGTTCCCCCTTGTTTTCTCTAATGATGAAGTATATTATTCTCGAAGTCGAATATATTTGGATGCTTAAACCTTAGGTTGCTTTAGATTTGAGCTCAGCACTGATATGTGCATGTGCAGTTTGATTCTCTACGCATTTGCTGAGTTTAGGTCTGATGTACTACAACAAATTCCTTACACAGTAAGATTACCAGAAACGTTGGATTGCTTTCTCTTTCATTTGAGTTTCCTTCTACTCTTTCTGGTTTTTGGCTCTTCTCTGTTTTCAATTGTTTTTTTCTGGTAATAAGCTTTCAAGTGGGCAGATGCCTAATTCTCAGAAAGCCAATTGGTTGTCCCAAATGTTAACCAAACATTAGGAAACTAGAAAGCTCCAAACTTGTTTGCATCAGCAGAGAATGACCAATATTTTTTTTGAAATAATATTATTAGGTCCCGTTCAAAGAAAAAAAAATTATTAGATGGCATATCTGAACACGCTAAATTTTTTACTCTAATATTCTGTAAGGAGTTGGTTTTTTCTATATATAAAAAAAAAAAAAAAAAAAAAAAGGTCAAATGAGCATGTGCAGGAAGAGGAAAAAAAAAAAAAAACTTAAATTCGATGTGCATATTTTCTGTACATTATGTGCACAATTTATTTTTCCCATAAACTTGAAAAAATAATAGGAAGGTTGAATACTAAATATGCACATTTAGCTTAAAATATATGCATATGCATTTCTATCAACATTCATAATGTAGGGTCTGTTCTCTTACGTTGAAATTCAATTCAACCCAGTTCAATTCAGCTCAGCTCCTAATTTCCTTCTCTTATAAAATATTCATTTCAGTTCATTTCAGTTCAGTTCAGCTCAGTTTAGTTCAGTTCAGTCAATGAGAACAGACCCGTAGTCAAATTAATATATTAGACTAGATTGAATAAATTTATAGTAAGTTGTTTAAATATATATATATATATATATATAGTAAGTTAATTGGTTTATTTTGTTGAAATTAGATTAAAATATCCTATAAAGTTCAACTGTAAAGAAGAAGCTCTAAGTTACATGCTTACATCTGACAAATTTCTAATATTACTATATTTGACCTTTTTCTCGCATAATTCAGTGCAAAGAATAATAGAATATTATTTTTTTTGACACAAATAATAGAATATTATTGAGGTGAGGAACATTTCATATTAGTCATGCTATATTGATTGTATTATGGGTAAATTTGAATCATATTCAAGTGAGAAAGAAACATAGGAAAAATATTGGATTTTTTTTTTTTTTTTTTTCGTGTGAAAGATGAAATTATGAGTAGGTTTTAATTCCGTACAAAATGTTGAGATGTTTATCAAAACTTCTCATAAAGGTACAATATTTATGAAACGAATGAAGTGTTTTGTTCATTATTAATTGTGAATTACTATATTATGATGTTCTAATCAATCTAGCTATCAATTTCTCGGTGGGTCAATTTTGCTTCGCGTCAAAATCATGTATAGTGAATAATTTATTTATTTATTTATTTTTTTTAATTGAATATAATAATTCAGAATAGGTAATTGGGAATGGGTATGTTTTACACTAATGTAAGCATATATTAGTAGAAGCGGTAAATTGTGAATTTGCGAGTACTTTGTAAAATGGAGACTTGCATATCAAAATTTATTAAGTGGTCCTACAAAACAAAATTCTTAAACACAAAGAAAAGTGTATTCTACATTCATTCCCAAAAAAAAGAAATGAAAAAAATATTAAAATAATAAAAATAATAAATAAATAAAATAATAATAAGAAGAAGAAGAAAAAAAACAAAGAATAGGTGATTTCTGTAGCAGAGATTTCTGAAATACTTTAACACTGATTTTGTTGTTGCTACAAAATTTCTGTATATTTCATTCAGCATCTAACAATATCAGCAGATTATGTCTTTTCCTAGATTTAATCAGAATATCAACAGCATATAATAATTTGTAAATCATATATAATAATAATACTTTCTGTAATTCACATCAAAATTTATGATTCTCATTACAGTTACAACTAAGCTCAACCCAACCCAACCCAACCCAACCCAACTCAACTCTGACTTCTAATTACAGTTGAGCAAAATTCTCTTCTTTTTTTCATTTTTTTTATATATGTATAGTCACAGATTTGGAGATTTGCCGGTTTTTTTTTTTGTTGTTGTTATTATTAATCTAACCTATATTATTATTCTACATTATATATCTTTACCAAGATAATAATAATAATAATAATAATAATAAGAGAAAATTTATTCCTAATGATGGTATTTATATTAAGCTGCTACTATCCCAGTCGAGAAGATCTGGCCTCTACTAGAACAACCGTAAGGCGAGCTCGAAAGCTCGCCGGATCGCGGTGTTTCCGACCTGCATTTTTCCTTCCTCTCTTCAATCCTTATATGTCTTTGCCTGCATTCAGCACTACAAAATGCCTTTTCCCCCCTGTTTTTACATACCATAAACATACATATTAGTATTTTTATTATTATTGTTAAATTCTTATTATACGATAAAAAAAAAATATACTATCTCCATTAATAATTATCTGTAATAAAATAGTATGATTTGTGAGACATAAAATATTCCTTTATTGCACATAATAATTAATGAAGTTAGTATTAGAAATACATGTAATGAAATGTTACCTGTACATGTAAATGTCCTTGCCTTGAAGACCTTTCCTACAAGAGTGACATGAACTAAGAAAATCCGAATCCGAACCCGAATCACGAAAATCATCGGAGAATCTAGCCGGCGAAGATATGTTAAAAACACCGATTTTCTTACTAATTTTCGGTCCCATGGACCGTTCATCACCACTATAGTAAACTCTAGTCGTGGACTTGTTAGGTCCACGACATGTAACATATGTAAACTCCTCTTCTAATCCGTCCATCATTTCTTCTTCCTCGAGTCCAAACATACCGTTCTGGTTTTTTGTCTCTTTATTATTCTTCATCTTACTAGATTGAGTAACGTTGATCGGATTTGAACGACTCGAAAATTGGCTACAAATAGCATATTTTGCTAGGATTTCACCACCACATACCACGTTACAACTATTAGACTTGTTATCAAGGGCTACAACGATAGCCAACCCGATCCCGCCATGTTGATCATAATAATTGTTATTTTTTAGACCCCGTGGAGATTGTAACGACCTACAATCTAATGGACCTCGTGGACTTGTCATCGTGTGGACGATCCCGGACCTTAGTACTCCGGCAAGCTTACTAATTGCCGGCCGGGATCGCTTGCCCAACATAATTGATTGATTGATTGAAATAGTTAGAAAAAAAAATACTATATTGATTGATTATAGTATGGAATTGTGGGTGGGAATTTTGAGTGGGATGATATAATTGTTGTTCTAGTGAGATGTTGGAGTACACCCCTCTTAGATGGGTCTCTCGAATAAGCACTTGAAGAGGGTTGTCAATTTATGTATGATTGAGTGGTTAGACTTAGCCCACTCCCCTTTTTTATATTATTTTTTTTGTATAAATTTTTTTTATTGTGGGTCCCACTACATTATTACTATATTCATGATTTGTTTGCTAAAAAAAAGTACCCACTTCATTATTAATCTAATTATTTTATTCGGGTTTTTATGTATGTAAATTAGGGTCTTATTTTATTCAGTTTGTTTTTAATTTTTTAACTTCATTCGTCATTCAAGTAGAGCATACATTTAGTAATCTGTATATAAAACTATTTTTTAAATGTTAATTATCATAAAAAAAAAAAAAATCAAGTGTTTTATAAGTTTTATGTATAAGTTGATTAAATCTAAGCCTGTTAAATTTCGAAACAATGTGAAATGGGTCTAGGCAACCCGAACAAGGAGGATGAGAGTTTGGTCCACAAACAAGGCTTTAGAGCTTCCATACTAAAACCAATTGTCAATAGTATGAGTAACTCCTCTACCTTATAAAGTGGAACCACCTCCCCTCTTTCTCCAATGTGGGACACAATGGGTTTCAACACTCCCCCTCACTTGTGAGTGTCCTTAGAACTTAGAGCACACCAGAAGGTACAATATAATCCTCATTGGGAATGAACATCCAATAGAGGCCCCTTAACCAGTGGCTTGACAAATACCCAGTTTTTATGAATGGCCCAACAAACCTGGGCTCTAATACCATGTTAAATTTCAAAACAATGTGAAATGGGCCTAGGCAACCCGAACAAGGAGGAGGAGAGTTTGGTCCACAAATAAGGCTTTGGAGCTTCCATACTAAAACCAATTGGCAATAGTAGGAGTAACTCCTCTACCTTATAAAGTGGAACCACCTCCCCTCTTTCTCTAATGTGGTACACTCACAAGTGGGTTACAATGGGTTTCAACAAAGCCAATAGTATCAAGTATAAGGAATGGTTAGATATAAAGATGATAAATAAAATATACAAAATGAACCTAATTATAATAGCCAATGAAATTAGAATATGTTTTCTTTCTTTACAATACAAAAGAAACACCGAAATTTTTTAGAACTTTAATTATAAACAATATGGAGTACATAAATACTTAATTACCCCTACACATTGTTGATTATATGTTGAGTATATTATACTTGTACTATTTTAAACTACTTCTTATCAATTTAACCATGGCAATTCTCTAGTATTTAATCTCCATTCCTATTTTAAGGACTTCCAATGACAAGAACCTTAATAAAATTATGTTTCTAATAATTACACCTTTTTTTTTTGTTGGTTTGTTACACTTTTGAATGCAATTAAATGTGGTTCTAGAAATTGAATGAATCTAGATCATATAGATTTAGATGAATATTACAAATAATAAAATCCTACATGATAATGTATTTATTGTATTAAGTGCAGATATCATATAAAAGTGTATTAAAATAGAAGATAGAGGTTAGAACAAAAAATCAGATCATATCATATCAGATCTTATATGCTCTTCTTTTCTTTTTGTTTGTCGCATGTGAAACCTTCAATTCAATCGTAAGAGATCTTCAACTATGAAAAATCTTAGATGAATACATAGGGGAAAAAAACAAATAAATTCATGTAGGATCTGGTTTGATTCATTTTGATTTATAGTTTCAAAATAGTAGTATCAAAGTGTCCATAAAAAATTTATTTTTCGATTACGTGCCGAAAAATGTCCCACAAAGATTTTGGTGATAATTTTGACCCTTAAAGGACCTAAATTGACCTCGAAACAAGAAAAAACAATAGCGTATATGATTCATTTAGCGTGTTATAAAATATCTTGATTTGCGTGTCATTGTTTTAAAGCTGAATTAAGTCATTTACTTTATTTTTTGCTTGTTTCGAGCTCAATTTGGATATTTAAGGGCCAAAATGACCCCCGAAACCTTTACGGGATATTTTTTGGCACGCAAATCGAATAAATTCACTGGCTTCAGCAAGAATAGTGGCCGAAAAACTCACTAAAGGTGCGCTTTGCACCCAAATTATTAGTTTGTGGTGTTTTGAACTTTTGACTATTAAGCAAAGTACATGGTGCATCCTGCACCCAAGCCCATAGTTTAGAGTGTTGACTATTGAGGCCAATTTTGCCTAAATTTTATAGTAAACTTTTTAAATCTTTGACCATAAAAATTCACTTATATAAGCATCAAATAAACCCTATAATGTTGGGTATATACATGGTCAAAGTCACATTGGAGACAATAAAATTCAAAACCTTAAAAATAAAAAAGAACTTAAGAAGTAACTTTTAGTCATTTTTTTATTATTACTATTACTATTACTATTATTATTATTATTATTATGCTCATACAAAACTCTCTTCGTTTCAGAAGAATTGAACCCCTTTTAACTTTCCCCACTTAAGACTTAAGAGTTTTGAGCACGGTTTTTATTTCCAAAACCCAACTTAGCCCTATTTAACTCATACTTTTGTCTAAAATAATTTTATTTTAACTGAATTATTTTACTATATCTAAAACTCTTTATTTTGTTTTGTACGAACTTATTTTAGTTAAATTTTATAAATATTATTTTTTTAGGGTATAAACGTTTCTACAAATTCTTAAATGGACCTGGTTCACACTAATTTATTGTGAACCACCAATATTAGAGACAATATGGTTGTTTTATTGATAAAAAAAGGTCACTATATTAATATAAAAGTTATTATTTTGAAATAAAGGTTATTATGTTGAAATAAAAGTTAGTATGACATTATTAAAATTATAAGAAGTTAATTTTTTTAATAAAATTTTAATACAATGGTAAATATGAATAATAAAGATCACTATGTTAAAATTAGGTCACTATTCAATATAATATCGTACTTTAAGTTCATTATAACATTAAAGGTCACACAAGTTTTTAAAAAGGTTACTATGTTGAAAATAAGGTTACTATATTGAATATAATGTCAGTTATGCGTGTATTAACCTTGGGTCCACAATAATATTATTGTGGACCAGGTCCACGCAAGATTTTCTTTTGAAATAAGATTAAATAACTTAAATTAAGATGGAACAAACAAACACTGAAAACATAACCTCGAATGAAAAATATATATATATATATAAAATAGTGTCCCTTCTTCTCCTTTCTCTCATCTTCCCTTTAAGGGTTTATAACTTTTTTTTGGCCGTATAGGCTGGACGGATATTAGACTATTGCCGACCACTTTTTCTTGTTTTCCTATAGTGTTACAATTTAGATTCCAATAAATCTACACAAGTAATGTAGATATTTGTCTGTCTTGGTAGAGTCTTTAGTTTTTATTAATTTAATTATTTGATTTTTGATATTAAGGTTTATATGCGTATCAAGGCTTATATAAAACAAGTAATCATCTTGTGCTCTATTATCAGCCCGTTGGCAAAAATTTCTCCCACTTTATTGCATGAGTCTTGTCAAAGACTTTCCTCAAGACCCCAAGATTGAGGATGGGTCAGAATATTGCATGAACAAAAACAAAAAAAAAAAACATTATGAAGGAAACACAATGAGGAAAAAAAAAAATTACTCCCTCCATTTCTTATTGATAGTTTTTTGTGGGTAATTTTTACGTGAATTAATAAACATAAATTAAAGTAGTAAAAGTACATTAAAAAGATAAATTTATATTGGGTATGCGAAAAAGTAGAGAAAAAAAGTAATAAAAGTACTTGGAAAAACAAAATTTACATTAAAAAGTTAAATTTACACGAATATTATTGCGAATTGAAGGTAATTTTAGTATAAATTTGATATAGATAATACTTGAAAATAGCAAATGAAACTATCAATTTAGGATTAAAAATTGACATAAGGAACTATCAATAAGGAACAAGGGAGTATGAGAATAGTTTGTTTTATTTGAAGTAAATTTATTTATTTTTTCTTAAAAAAAGTAAATTTAATTTAATTTAAAGTAAAAAATAAATGAAATATAGCCTAAAAAGGTAATCACGAATATCGAGATCAAATGATTCATAAAATGTCACCTGTCACAGGACAAAAATTAAAAAATTGTCCACCTTCAAAGAAATGGGACCCACTTAAAAATAAAAAAGAATCTTGGCCCACAATTGCCCCCGGAATCTGACACCAAAAGGGATACTCTTCAAGGGCATTTTTGGAAAGTGGGCCCATTTTTGTACGTGTCATTCTTTCGACGGATGGGCTCAACTTGATTATGACTGGAAACCACTGTGGGCCTCAGCCCACTTCATTTCTGGGCCCACTTTCTTTTGTAATTTTTTTTTTTTTAATTGGTTTTAATTTTTTGAGATGAAAATGACTTTTGGTGGGGTTTTAGGTGCCGGTGTTGTACTGCTACCTTGAAATCAGCCTGTTTTTTACTGATTAAATAACCAAAATACCCTCCATTTCTCTCTCTAATAATTTAGAGTGTCAATGTGTCATATTAAATTAAAAGTAGGAATCTATTATAATTACGTTTTTTTTTTAATTATTGTTGCCTTTTTTATTGGGTACGCAAGAATCTTATTTATTATCATTATTTTTTAGAGATGATTTTCATTTTCATTATTATTGGGTAGCTTTCATTGCCAACTTGCTTCTCCTATTTTATTCGACCTAAACTAGATATGAACAAGTTCCTATCAAATTCAACAAAACGTAGACTTGCCTTGAGTCAACATTGGGCAACCAAATTACCTTTTTTTTTTTTTTTTTCTTCATAAAACACCTTTTATTTAATTTTCATACCTTAGATATGACAATCCCTCAATTTGATTTAATGTACAATTACAAATGTGTGGTTTTATGAACGAACTAACAAGTTCCTCGGACTACATAATGAAATTATGAAAATCGTCTCAATTCAGCTAGTCATATCAGCTAGTCGTATGTAAAATTACTACCTCCGTGCCTCCGTTACATATTATTTGCAACGATTAGACATTTTTCCTCTCTACTTTATGTCAAATCGTTGCAAATAATATGAAACAGAGGTAGTATAACTTATCTAAAACGATTATAATTTCTTTGAAATAA